GTGTGTGTGTGTGTGTACTGTGTCTGTCCACTGCTACCAACTCCTTCTACAAGTGAGCATGTGGGTAAACAACTTCAATCTACCAGCCACTTTAGCTCATAAGGTGGCTGATCGGTAGTTGTTATGTTTAGGTTCACAATGTGTAACCAAAAAAAAAACTAGAATTGCAAAGCAAAAGTTCACTTTCCAGACTAAAAGTACCAAGATGCCACACTGTGGAGCAAAAGACTGAACTTCCAGTAGTGGAGGAGTAGCTCATAAAAGCAAGAGCACTTAATGGAAGTATTTTACCATCAAATATTTTCCAGTGTTGCTCATAATGACAGATCACTGGTTGGTATGGCAACATAACATCCTTAATGCTCCATGTCCAAGTTTAATTTTACCAGCGATTCAAAATGTCAAATCACATCAGTCTCTCTCACAAATATCTTGCTAACTGGGTTAATCCTGCCTCTTGAAACAGCCGTCGAGACTCCCAAACCTGACAACGTATCCATCACTCGCCCCCCAAAAAGAGTATATTTACCAGCCGAAAGGGCAACGCTCTGGGCTTTAAGGGCTTCAGGCGAGGTGTTGCTCTCCTGCTGCTGTTGAGGGTGAACGAGAAAACAAGTTGTCATACTGCTTTGAACTGGAGATGACCCCAACTTGAGCTCTAATATCAAAGTCACACACCCACTGCCTGCTAATGGATGATAAGGTTTATATTAAACACACACACACAGATAGATACTCTGCTTTCAGACAGAGGAAACCTGCTCCATCCCAGCAGACAGCCCCGGCTCTTGTGCTGGTTGTGCATCACTTGCATCCTCCAGGCGTCGGCCACCTGCTGCTGAGTCTGCGCCCCACAGGTGACCTTGGTGAAAAGGTAACTTTCCTGTCCTGACCCCTTCTCCAGGCGGGCCACACAGACAGCTCTCAGAGACACCAACCCCCCCTCTCCAAAAGATAAACCCAGAACCGTGAATGCAGCACTCAAACGCTCAGGTATTTGAGTCCAGCTTGGCCACAAAGAAACCACACAGACCGTTTTACTGACCACAGTGGCATCAAACACGTCCTCGTACAGCAACTCAACATGAATACATCTGGTTATTCAGTCGTTTTACTGCCGTTACACCGGGTTATAATGGTTACCGGCTGCTTGGTGTGACATCAGTAGGGCTGAATACATCCATCGGCCGGACGGTGAACTAACAGTAACATACAAAACAAGTGGCTAACGTTAGCAGGCGAGCTAGTTAGCACGGTAGCAGGTTGGTTACCACCACAGGGAGCAACAACGACTTTCCTCTCGGATGTGACTCATAACACTGGCAGGTAATTATAAGGAGGAGAAAAACACATTTTTTTTAGATAGACAGACTCCGATAAATAGCTGTTAGTTAATTACAACTTACTGGCTAGCTTTAGGTTCGAGCATCCCGACGAGCTGCTGCCGGAGGCCTGCGGGACCCCGGACTTTCCTGTGCTGCTCCCCACGGCAGCGGCTGATCCGGTGGACGCAGCGGCGGTTCCTGGCACACCTGGCGGCTCAGCAAACGAGCTGGTCCTGGGCCGCCCGCTGCCGCTCATATCTCTGTGCAGGGCTCAGGGTTGGTTTTTCCACTACTTTCAGCCAAGCGACTAATAATTATGAATACCCGGCAGCGAATAATCGTGGAAGGATAGACACCGAGAAATACCGCTCCCGTTGCCGCCGGCTGTCTGGGCTGATAGCTGTTGCTAGACACCTAGAAACAGAACGCTCGCAATGCCACCTGGGAGATGGAGTTCGAAGGAGCTGTTGCTTAGGTTCGCTGCTCAGGCTTTCAGAAATCCAAACAACTACAAATTTAAAATGACTTAACAGTGGATGTAGGCCATAAAGGTGCAACAGTCACATTATGTTCAAATAAAAATTTAAGTGTTTACCATGTTTGGATTCAGATAAAAATCACAGTTTAATCCATAGACGCTATAAAACAGGATAAATCACTAAATTGACCCTGTCTTTTATTCTATAGTATAGTACAGATGTTATTTTTAGTTCTAGCTAGGCCATAAAACACTTTACAATCTTATTTTGAAACCTGATAATCAGTGCTTTTACTGCTAGCAAAATAAAATAATAATAATAATAATATAAAAGAAAAGTAACAATAAATGGGAAAATATTTCCAGAAATACCAGGAGGTCCTGCATTGTTTTTATTTTGTTTAAATCTTTAACTTAAATGAAGGGCTTTGGCGTAATCCTCTTCAATATAATCAGTGATATGATGACATGGGGTGCTTGGTGAAAACAACATACTTAAGAGTGTGATGATGATTTTGAAGTGAGCAGGCTGTGGTCCTCTTCAGCTTCCCAGAGTGTTTGTGCCCATATGGAAGGCACTCTGACCAGGTCCCCTTACCTTAACCGACATCTCACCCAATATGACCTGAATCTGAAAGGGCTTCTCTAATCCAATAAGCATTCTTAACACTCGGAGTCCAGCTGGAGAAGTACACACACAGGGATTTGGGGGACTTGCCTGGTGGGTCAAAGTGGCTTCATCTGTAGATCCTATTCATTAGTTTACAACCAAATTTGTTCAAGAGAGGTTGGATTTGCATCAACTTTTCCTTATTATCTCTTCCTTTGCCATTTTGGAAAGAAAGTACAGATGGTCAAAGTAGAGATTGCAATAAATGAAGAAGCAGTAACAGTAATTTAATACCTTCTGTAGGTGAATTATAATAAGACATTCGATACAAACATTCACAAATGATAAAAACACTAGATACATTCAGAAATAAATTCAACGACATAAGACATTGTGTTAGATCTTTAATATTTTCAATATTTAGTTTTTTGTTGTTTAGAAATATTGCACATGGTCAACATGCCTGCTTATGAGATAACACTCACCTCGCTCATCCTAAAATTCCTTCTCCAAAGTAAGGACAGTTTATTTTTAAGCACAATCATACAGTGTACACGCATACATGTGTGTATGCACATATTTCTGGTCTGGGTGTGTGCACGCGTGCATGTGATTGCACATGCATGCAGATGGACACTTTACAGCCCTAACCCCAAAGAGATGTGAATTGATAGTCTTCCATTACCTGTGTGTTATATATTATATAGCCTGAATATATATTTCATATATATCCTGAATCAACTGGGTTTGATAACAGTCAAGATGGCGGGAAAAATAGTCACGGTGACTATAAAAATACTGTCTCTAGAGTAGAATATAGAATGGAGAATACAATGAAAAATATACTATTGATAATGTTGCTGTGTGGAGAGAGAAAAAGTTGTGTTAAGACACTACCTGCATGTGCCAAAACATACACACACACCCAAACACAGACCTAAATGCACATATATGGAAATACCGGTATATACTTTTTCACACCTCCAACTGTATACAGAGAAACAAAAGAGATACCCATAATAATAACTACCCCCACTCTTCACCAAGGAAGCAAAGAGCCAAAAAGTGCTATTCAAAAATTGTCTTTGACTTTTAGTAAGTTATACCCTCTATCTCTTCAACAATAACAATAATTGTGTGATTCTTTTTTGTTTTGTTTTATACCATAGTTAAAGATAGTATCACAACAGCTCATTCCTCTCATTGACTGACTGCACTGGATTTAATATCTATGGCACAGAGCCTTCCCCCGGAAACAAAATAACCCACCCATTTCCAAAAAAAATAAATGTCCTATTGCACCATTTGACGGGAAAGGATAAAGTGTCGAGAAGAGAGGGAATAGGGGAGGGCTCCAGAGACTGCCCTCCAGGGCTGGTCTAGGATCTGCTTTCCCTGAACTAACCCTAACCAGAGCCATCCTGAGCTACATAGCGCTTGACCCGGGACCAGTGCTTAAGGGCACTTTCTAACAACACTTGAGGGATTCAAGGGAAATAGGTGAGGTAAAGATGGGAGGTGAGGACTGAGGAGAGATGGGTTGAAAGGAAGGGAAAAAGCAGGGAGGACATGGGGAGGAGAAATGTGGTTGATAACATACGGAACAAGGTTATTATTTTTTCTACTAAAACAATCTCTATAAACAATACTTTCCTGATTTTACTTGCGGCGGTCCCAGACGAGAAGGGCCGCACAAATTGTGCAAACACCTGATTTCTGCGTTTTACAAAACGACAAACACCCCTGCTTCCCCACTTCTGTGTCTGGTGAGAAATCGTAGAGTAGGGAAGAGGGGGGGAGAGAACCGCCCCAGGTACAATTAAAAGTAGGGGGGGCCACAGACTGATTTTGTCCCCTTCTTTGTCCAAAGTTTTTTTTTTTTTTTTTTTTGTTGTGATTTTTTTATGCTGGAGAAGAAACACAATAGAGCCACGAGAGAAAAACAGGCCACGGTAAAACTGGTTATTTCCACGGCAACGATAACGAGAGAAAGCAACATTATATCCACTGGGAGATTCAGAGAAGTTTGGTTAAAATTCTACTTTTTCTCTCTGTTGGTAAGCTTGTCATGTTGTTGTTGTTGATGTCCTTATTCACTATTATTCTTATCGGTCTTCCTATAGTTGGAATATAAATCTTCCATCCAATGAACGTCATCCAGTCTTCTGCCTTTTCTCTGTGCTCTGTCGGGAGCCGGTCAGTGTCGAACTTAACGTTGATTCTTCAAAGCCTCACAACCAATAGTCTCTTTACATAATCTCTTTACGGTGCCTGTTCACACAGGTTTTGGGGAGGGCACCCCAACAGACATACAGACATATATAATCAGCTCCCGCCAATGAGGACTCAGTCTTTCATAATGGCAATAACTGAAGGTGCAAATATTGGTCACACTACATCCAAACTCCTGCCTTCTTTTTGTTTTTCAGGAGCGATTTCATGCTTTCAGTTTCTCTTCTCACTACAATCACTAAAAACTGTGCAGGCCAATGGCTTGGTCAGACCAGGGTTGACTATGTTTGTGTACGAGTGCTCACACTGCACAGATGTGTCCATGCACTGCATGTGTTTGTGTGTGTGCATGTATTGTGTGTGTGTGTGTGTGTGTGTGTGTGTGTGTGTGTGTGTGTGTGTGTCTGTGTGTGTCTGTGTGTGTGTGTGTGTGTGTGTGTGTGTGACAGACAGGCCGAATATCCAAGTGTGTGTACGTGGGAGGAGGTTTTTGTATTGGCTTTCAGGTAGTCAGAAGGCCAGAGTGAGAGTACACTTCTCCTGTTTCTGCAGCAGGCCAAGGCGCTCTGATCCCTCTGGTCCTTTTCTTGCTGTTAATAAGTTACCTGTCCCTTCAAGCAGCTGTTACATCAGACACACACACACACTCTCGCCGCACACATACGCACCCTCCCTCTTCCTCTCCACCGTAATCCCAAAGGTCAATTCTCAGTCCATCCTACAAATTTCTGCCGTTCTCAGATGTTGGCCGCCGTTAGCAGAGCTAGTGCTGCAGTACTGCGTGACACTCCAGTTCCAATACTCTCAGGTCTCTCTGTCAATTCCCTCCCTCCCTTTACTTTCCGTCATCAAGCCTGTCATCCAAGGAGGAAATAAAAGAGGTCTCATTTGTGTGGGCTGGTCATGTGATGTGTGTGTGTGTGTGT